CTTCTGCAAGTGCTATGAGCTCAGCTACTTGTGCTGAAAAATGCCCAGAAAGAGCTCCTTTCTTCACGACATTTCCATCAGCTTCCACTACAGCCCATCCAGTATGTCGTTTTCCATCAAACATAGTAACTGGATCCATCGACCCATAACTCCTTGTCTGGATTTTCAAGAGGTGTTGGACTAACAGGACCAAGACTTTCTTCTTCTACTTGTTTTTCACACTCATGTGGTGTTCCCTCGTGTGGTTCGATCATCATCGTTGCAGGGTTAAGGGATGTGTCTCTGATGATTTCCACTCTCAAATCCTTGTTCAACAAAGTTGCTTCCCGTTTTGCTCTCCTTGCATCAGTAATGGTCTTGATGTTTGTGTTGTTCAGCAACGTCACTATACTGTGTGGAGTATGCAATATGATTGTTTGTGCTCCTATCAAATTTTCCACAGCATCCACTGCCCATGTGGCACCATCGAGAGCTTGTATACATCGTGGTTGACCAATCATTGTAACAGGAATCTTTGTGGAAAAGTATCCAACTGGTTTGTGTCGATCACCTGGTTTTTGACACAGTACTGCTGAGTACGTCTCATCTCCCACCCTGGTCCACAAATGAAACGGCAATCGTCCATCAGGAAGTCCCAAGGCTGGGGCTGAAGTCAGTTTTTCTTTCATTGAAGTAAATGCTTCCTCAGCTTCCGGTGTCCAGTTTATCTGTTCCATTCCAGGCTTTCCTCCCTTGTACAAGTCAATGAGGGGACCGGTGATGCTGGCAAAATCAGGAATATACTGACGACAATAGTTGAAAAGTCCCATCACTTTCCTCATTCCTGTAACTGTTAGAGGTTTTGGAAGTTGCCGTAATGCCTCCACACGCTCTGTTGTCAGTCTCCTTCCCTCGACAGATTATTTCTTGCCCAAGTAGATAACCTTGGTTTTGGCCAGCTGTGCTTTGTCGGGGTTGACTTTGAATCCTCCTTTCTTAAGGGCTTGTAGGACAATATTCAGAGCAATATGTGGCTGTTTTCATCTGGGCTTTGCAATTAACAAGTCATCCACGTATTGGAGGCAAACACTTCCTGAACTCTCGATTTCAGCTTTTTGCTCCGTTAAGAACTGATCCAAAGTTCTGTGAAATACCACAGGAGAAATATTAAGTCCTTGTGGGAGTCTGTTCCAGACATACTGTTTTGCACCCACTGTGAAGGCAAGTTTCTCTTGAGATTTTTCGTCAATAGGTATAGACCAGAAAGCAGACAGTACATCTAGTACTGTGAAAATTCTTGCATTTCCTGGAATATCATTCAGAATAGTGGCAGGATTGGCCACAATAGGATGCGGTTTTGGTGTTACACTGTTGAGTCTTGTGTAATCAATAGTTAATCTCCATGAGTTATCCGATTTCTTGACAGGCCAGACAGGACTATTAGTGGTTGATGAAGTTTGTCTGATGATCCCTTCAGCTTCCAAGTCTGCCACTATCTCTTCCACGGCCCGTCTTGCTTCAGGTCGGATAGGGTATTGTTTATGAGGGGCATGTGTCGGCCCTTCAATAACAACAGGGTCAATGTTGGCTTTGCCACAATCAAATTTGTGTTCAGCCCAAACTTCTGGGTGTAAACTGCACAGAAGACCCCACACACCGTCTTTGGTCCAGTCTCTGATAATTGGTTTTGCTGCACCAACTGAACTCAAATTACATGTGCGATCTTCGTGTGGTATTATCCCAGCTGTTGTAGCGATTTGACGACTGTCAGTGAAGATGATCATGTTCAACAATGGAAGTATGTCTATGCCAATGAGGCTTCCTTGTGAATTCGGTCCCACCCAGAAAGATGTCCATACGACTTCATCTTCATGTATTTGTAGTGGAACTTGGATACTTTTATGAAATGTTGTGATACCTCCTCCAACTCCTTCAACTTCCATAGTTTCATCTGTTGTAGGTAGGTTCAGATCTGTTATTGAAATTGAGGCTCCTGTGTCAACCAGGATATCACATGGGTGGCCCCCTATTAATGCATTGATGAAAAGGCGATTGTCTCTTTTCTTACTAAATACAGGGGGCCGCTGATTCCTATTGCGGACGCATAATCCCTCTATGAGTTGACGGACTTGTGCGTCCGTCCATGTCTTCCCTTGAGAGGTTTCATCATGATTTTTCGCAGTGACTTGTTTAAATGATGGACCTTGACCTTCTGCTCCACCACCTTTAGCCCAGCAGTCCTTTCTTGAGTGGCCACGCTTTCCACAATTGCCGCAAACAACAATCTTATTCTTTGTATCCATGTTTGTATTGAGCTGTTGCCACTTCCTTTTTCGATTTGTCTTGTTTCCTTCTTCCTTGTTTGATCTCATCGCCATCTCTAGACGGCCAGCCCATTGCATAATTTGGTCATATGTTTCGCCTGGATTGACTCCAAGTGATAAAGCTTGTTGGTATTTAGAGCTAAACCCATCCACAAGTGTGTCAGTGAATTGTACATCATCTCTGTCAGGTTGTTTCTTAGCGCAGAGAGCCCATCTCTCATAAGTGTTCCACTTACGCAGAGCATATTCATCAGGAGATTCATCATCCTTTTGCTTAATCAATGTCACTGAAGTGAATGGAATTTTACCGCTTCCCAAGATTTCTTGGATTTCCTTTCGGAATACATCTAATGTTTGCCAAAGACCCAGGGTCGTCCTTGCCATCAACCCACAAGTCTACCCATTGGGCTGTTGTTATCGATGCTGGCAGGCGTTCCCATCGGTCCCTTGGGATTTTAGCTTTCACAATGGTGTGAATGTCTTTTAGTGTCATTTGATGTGCTTCAACCAGGGAGTCTAATTCTCGCCAAAACTCTGTGTTTGGATCTTGTCTCTTCAGAGGAGGCAAGGCTGAGAGAATGGCTTGTCGTTCTCCGAGTAAATGGTCTTTCTTCGGTCATTATCTCAGGTTGCGACTCTTCCCTTTAATCACAGGTGAAAGAAAATTCAGGACCGATTTTGT